GCACTTCCTTTTTAAAAACAGTTTTGGGGCATTTTTTTCCAGTGCATGTTATATTTTATTTTTCCATCACATTTGAACATAGTTTGAGTTCAAAGAGTGCCCGATGGAAAGAAAACTAAGGTTCTTTTTCCGCATACACACACCAAATAGATTTGTGTTTGTTTCATTTGTATTAATTGGAGTCTTCCCTCCCTATCACTAGTATTGTGTTTTTATTTTTCATTGATTTGTGTGAAATGGAAGCGAAAAGGGAATAAAACGGCCATATTTAAACTAGTCTTTGAGGTAACTTTTAGTAAAATCTCACATGTAGTCCCAAAGTGTAACTTGGAAAACAAGAAGTGGTGTCCTAGTCCTGGAGCCCTCTGCCTCAGCTGCCTTCCCTCCCCTTCTCCAGAACCTCTAGCTCTTCAGACCAGTACCGTCAGCATCTCCTGGGAATTTCCTGGAAATGCCAAGTTCTCTGTCCTTACTGATTTAGAAATGTTCAGATGGAATTCAGCACTGTTTTAATTAGCATTCCAAATCTTCTAATGCATGCTCAGGTTTGGGGACAATAACTTAAGGGCCGAGGCGGCAAACCTCCAGTACCACAGCAAGCTTTTTGTATCACTGAAACCTCTCAAAGTTTTGCCCTTACTGCTTTACAGCTCCTAGGAAGACAGACTGTCACTCACCACAATACAATGTTCATATAAGCATATAAAAATCAGTAATGGCCAACCTGTTGGGTCTCAGGTAATGCCACCACAGAGAAACTCACTGTAGCAGAGGATACTTATTTTCTTAAAAGGTTGCAGGATTGTTCTGCATAATCATAGTAGCAAAGGTGGTTTGGAGGTCAGATGTAAGAAGTCAAGAATCCCTAGTACCAAGAAAGTCTTTAGGCTGAAAGAAACTAAGAAAAGAGCCCCCCAGAGAAAACCAGGCTACTCCCTTTTAACATCTCCCTCCAGCTTCTTTAATAATGTGTTAGGATAAGTTTCCCTTAGCCTTTAATCCTAAGTATGTATCTAATGGTTCAAAACCAAACCCAAATCGGTACAAATGCCTTTGAGGAGTGATGGTGAGCCTTAAAAGCTAGGATTGCAGGCATGTGCCACTGTGTCCTATGAGGCTTTCCTCTCAGAGTGAGGGCCCTAGACCAGCAGCATTGGCACCATTGAAGAGCTTAAAACTGCAGGGTCCTAGTCACTACATCAGACCTACTGGGTCACCATCTGGAGTTTAACCAGATTCCAGGATGACTCATATGCGAGTTTAGGAGACTATCTTAGCGGTCTTCCATTTTGGCTAGGAAACATAAAAATACTGATACCTAGTCTGTATCCAAGATGGACTATAATCCCTGCCAGTTAAAAAGTTGTCATTGTTCACTTCTAAATCTTCTCCCATGATTCCAGTGTGAAGCCAGGTTTTAAGAGCCACTGCCTTGAGGAATCCAGATGGAACTAGAGCCTTTACTTAAGCAAGTTGAAAAGACTAAAATTCAATGGCTGGCTTTATAGGGGTCAGCTGATGTGGGGCATCAACTGATGACTAGACAGGAAGGCTGGTGCAGACTTCCCAGACTTATATGGTACAGATTTTTATCAGCAGTTTCCCAGTGATCAATTCTGGCAATTAAATCAACGTTTTGAAATGTAGGTTAGGCCACATCAGTGCAAAGCTTACTAGTGTATGCCCTTATGATATTGTATGTAAGTCATGAAGTTACCCAAAAGAGCACTGGCCTGTTCTAATGCTTATCTAAAAGCACATGTAGTTTGACATGTTCTGTACAGTCATGTTCAGGCACTTATTTAATGACGAGAGTAAGGAATGGGTTAAATACCAAACAATACGGCATCTTACCCAACTTCTTTTTGCTTTCCTTTTTTCCTGTCTGATACCTGAAGAGTGTCTTAGTTACTTTTGGGGAGGGTCTTGGTTACTTTTCTCATTGCTAGGACAAAATGCCTAATACCCATAAGTTAAAGGAGGAAAAGTTTCTTTTGGATCCCAGTTTGTAGAGGTTTCATTCCACAATCTCTGACTCCAAGGTAGGATGGTGTGGCAGAGGGGCATCGCAGAAGAGGAACAGTCCATGACAGGGCAGAGAGGAGGCAATGGAGAAAGAGGAAGGGAACAAGAAGAGGAAGAGAAATCCTATCTGTTCTCCGTGCCAGCCTGTGCCATCCAGGCTCTAAGTCTGTTGAACGGTCTGACGCATAGCTAGGGTGGGACTTCCATTATCTATATCCTTAATCCCACATTCACACACGCTGACCCAGCCACCTTGGAAACTCTCCACCTATGACCAATGAGCATTTGAGGGGACATCTAGGTACAAGATATAACATTCCACTACTGGTCCATAAATGACTCGTGCTCATCTCTTTGTGCAAAACACATTTAGTCCTTGTATAAGAGTTTCAAAATCCTAACAATTTCAGCATTGCTGAAAAGTCCAAGTCCAGAGTCTCTTCCTAGATTGAAGGTACCTCTTAGTTGGTAGCCCCTGTATAAATGAAAAGAAATTAAACACGTCCAATATATGATGGCATGAAATAAACATTTCCATTCCACTTAGGGGAATAGAAGGAATGGGAACAAAGCAAGGTTGAACTCCAGCAAGGTAAACATTAAGTCCCATAGTTCCATGTCCAGCATCGGAGTAACCTGTGGCAAGATGTGAACCCTGAAGGACTTGGGTGGCTCCCCCAACTCACATAGCACCGCTGGTGATTGTAGCTCCCATGGCTTCTCTCTTGAGCCAACTTTGCTCATTTCTTACAGCTCTCCTCAGCCAACCCACAATCCTGGCTTCAAACTTCTATGGTCTCCACTGTACCTTGAGATTCTCCCACACAGCTTCAGGCACTGCCATCTCAGGGGCACACTGCCTGGACTGTTAGGCATTGTGAGAAATCTGGGTGAAAGCTTTTCTGACCCCACAACTCTTGCATTCTGCATGTGCCTAAAATCAGCATCATGTTTATGGTGCCAAAGTTTGACCCCAGCGAAGGCAGTAGTCAAGATTCCTTCTCTTTTAGCTGTAGGGGCGGAATGCCCGGATTGCTGATCTCTGTGAATCCAGCTGGGGTGGAGAATACCCTAGGATGCAGTCATTCTGGAACACATTCCCCCGGGGCTCTCTTCTCAAAGCAAAGTCTTTTACCTTTGCAGTTTTGAAGCTGCAAAGTGTAGAGCCCTGCCGGATCTTGTGACCACCTCAGGCTATCTTTTCTATTGTTCTCTTCTAAAATGCCTGTCTTTTGTTCTTTTTGTATTTTAGGAAAGGGTCTGAAGGGTGTTCCAGATCTCACTACTAGATTGGACTCGTAGTGATCCACCTGTTTA